TCCCGAATTCTCCGGGAGCACTCTTCAAGTGTGAGGAGGCTTTTCTCACACGTCGGTGATCTAATGTTGTTTGCTGCGCTTTGGTGCTTCTGCACTTTGGTCATCAGTGCCGCTGCTTCCTTGTGTAGCACCTCGAAGAACAAGAGGTGTTCAGGTGACGGGTCACTGAGGCGATGAGGAGCCGGGTCTGCTCTTGAAAAATCTCATTTTCACCAGACGATCTTTGAGAATAATTTTACATTATTTAATTAAATAATGATTAGTTCTTAAAACAAATTTAAGTAAATATTACATTATAACATTACTTAATTATATAATTATTAGCTCGTGAAAGAAATTTGAAGAAAATTAACCCATACAAAAAGTTGAAAGTAAATGTTATTGATAGAAAATAAACTAAATAAATACAGCTTTTAAAATTTGTTTATCTATATCTTTAACACGTAGGTATTAATAACGTTATAAATATTTCAGCAATAACGGATCACAAAGCGGGAATATTTTTCTAATCTCGCTATTTCAGAAATATATACCCTAGACAGACCTGTCTTCAAAATGTGTGATCCAGATCCATCAAAAGTATAGCGTTATTTATTTTCTCATCTTAAATCACATTGCTGCTGTACGTTATGTTCCAAAATGTAAAATTCTTTCCGAACTGGTGTGTATTAAACAAAACAAAAGTTGTTCAAATAACTATACAAAGAAGAATTCAAACTTTGACATCCATCTTTTAAAATGGTCTGAAGGAAATTCGTTTTATTACTCTTGCAATGCGCTCAGCATTTTGATAAAAGTTCGGCAAATAATTCAAAACATGTCGGATTTGTTTGAAATGCATTTGACTCAACAAATTTCAAGGAAAGATTCTTAACAGAAGAGTTAGAAAAAAATTCATAACGGCCAGGAAAGATTTATGAAAAATGATTAAATGATTGGAATGAAAATTTCATAAAGCCTCTTATATATGATAGAAATCATCATCATTATCAGTGGCGCAATAGCCCCACAGTGGGCGAAGGACGTCTCCCTGCTGGCAGATTTCAAGACAGGAGATGTTTTCTTTTTGCCGGGGGTAGAGTTGTCAGCATTACGCTCAACGCTCTACAGCCATATTAGACCGAGATGTACGGTTTAAAGTGGATTGGTGAACCACTCAAACATCCATGGCACTTCGGGGACTTAGACAAGAAACCTGTGGCACTGAGCGCCAGAGCGTTAGACACTCGGCCATCAGGCCTTGTATGACGGAATGCGGTTTCTAATAATATGTGGTAGAGCCTGGGCTATTTGATAATGGTCGTTAAGTTGTTTTATCTCGTGTTAAAGATAATACACCGAAGTGACAAAAGTCATGGGATAGCAATATGCAAATTTTCAGATGGCAGTAGCATCGCGTAGAACAGGTATAAATGCGCAGTGCTTACGCAGAGCTTTCATTTCTGTTCAAGTTATTCATGTGAAGAGGTTTTGACGTGATGATGACCGCACGACGGGAATTAACAGACTTTGAACGCGGAATGTTAGTTGGAGCTAGACGCATGTCATGCCATTTCGGAAATCGTTAGGGAATCAACATTCCCAGATCCACTGTGTCAAGAGTGTGCCGAGAGTATGAAATTTCAGGCATAACATCCCACCATGGACAGCGCAGTGGTCGACCGCCTGCACTTAACGACCGAGACGTCTGCAAAGAGTCGTAAATTCAAACAGACAAGCAACACTGCGTCAAATAACCGCAGAAATCAATGTGGGACGTACAAGGGACTTGTCTGTTAGAACTGTGCGGAGAAATTTGGCTTTCTTGGGCTATTCCAGCAGAAGACCGACTCGAGTGCCTTTACTGACAGAACGACATCGCTTGCAGCGACTCTCGTGGGCACGTGAGCATATCGGTTGGTCCCTAGATGAATGGAAAACCGTGGCCTGGTCCGATGAGTCACGATTTCAGTTGGTAAGAGCTGATGGTAGGGTTCGAGTGCGGCGCAGACCCCACGAAGCCATGGACCCACACTGTCAGCAAGGCACTGTTCAAGCTGGTGGTGGCTCCGTAATGGTGTGGGCTGTTTTTCATGGCATGGACTTGGTCCTCTGGTGCGACTGGACCGAACATTGACTGGAAATGCTTATGTTCAGCTACTTGGAGATCATCTGCAGCCATTCATGGACTTCATGTACCCAAACAACGATGGGATTTTTATAGATGACAATGCGCCATGTCACCGGGCCACAACTGTTCGCGATTGGTTTGAAGAACATTCTGGACAATTCTAACGAATGATCTGGCCACCTAGATCGCCCGACAGGAATCCCATCGAGCATTTATGGGACATCATCGAGAGGTCTGTTCGTGCCCAAAATCCTGCACCATCAACGCTTTCACAATTATGGACGTCTATCGAGACAGCATGGCTCAATATTCCTGCAGAAGACTTCCAACGACTTGTTGAGTCCATGCCACGTCGAGTTGCTGCACTTCGCCAGGTGAAAGGAGGGCCGACACGATATTAAGAGGTATCCCATGACTTTTGTCACTTCAGTGTATTTGATGCATGTTTTGCAAATATACAATCAGAAAATGAAAATTGGAAACTATTCTTTTAGAAAAGTGAACCTGCATCTATGCAAATCATGTTGGTTTAAAAGATTGTTGTTGTTTTCTTTTGTTTTGTTTGTCGCTATAAAAGGTCATTTTGTGCACAGTTTTGGGCTCATTAGGCCAGGATCAACAGCTTAACGGGCATTCCGAACCCTTCACAAACATCCATGCCACCGCCAGGATTCATAATTAAAAAAGAAGTATGCAGAAAATTATATTTATTAACAAACTCCTTATCCATTCCACTAATAGATCTACTTTCTCAATGCAATGCACTACAACAATAGGTAAAATTATGTTTCCCATATCTGTAGTGTTTCTAGAAATTTAAAAAACGACGAACACTCCGATGCCGTCTCAGACGGACAGAACGTCAAAGAAGATCCATTAGGGTGATGAAAACTGCAAACATGTTCATGGCTGTTTTACCATGAACATGTTGGACTCTCTGTCTTCCCTCCCCCTCCGAGGAGCTCCCTTCGACTCCGCCTGTCCGAGCGCCATTTCTATTCCTCTGACAGCCTCGGAATATTCAAGAAAATAAAGTTTTCAAAAAACACACTCTTTCGGCCCCCCTCACGTGACATGTCCCGATGCAGCGCCCCAGGACAGGCCGCCTGTCCACGAGGAGCTTGCAATGTCTGAAAACGATTCCCACCACTGCTGAAGTAAGAATGGATAAAGAAAAATCTTGTTGGATCTTCTAGTTTTTATTTACTTATCTTTTTAATACGCTTTTATTAGTTTCACCTGTATGTATGTAACTGACCTTTTCCCCCTGGAGATCTGTTTCTCCTCATAAACACTATTTAAGCCTAAAAGAAACATTTACAGGCGTCTTTCCGAAAGAAAACAGTTGATTCTTTTTAATACGCTTTTATATTAGTTTCACCTGTATGTTTGTTTGTTTGTTTGTTTGTAACTGACTCTTTGGGCTCGATTTTGCCCTACTTTAAGCGATCCGATTTAATTTAAACGTTGTAGACTTATCAATTACCAACGACACTAACATATTTTGATAAGTTTATTATCTCATCATGATTAGGGTCGCCAGGATGAGTGATTTTATTTTAACTTATGAAGAGCAATTTAACTCATGTAGAATGAAAGTATTCAGTAAAGACATTCAAACTTACGTGGGATAACGTATGACGCACCTGACTACAGATCAGGAGATTCCCTGTTCGAATCCTGGCTGGCTCGACCTATTCGCATTTAGCCTTTGTTTTACTCACAATTACATTATTGTAAGAACTATAGTTCCACTCCTCCGTACCGGGACCTCATTTAAATATTATAGTTTAAAAACACTAAAAAACACGCTTTTAGAGTTAATCAAACTAAAAAGTAAAAATAATTGTCAACATAAGAATAAAATGACTGACAAGAAAATGAATGTCACTGTTCTAAAAGCGTGGGGGTGCTTTGTAGGACATTTTAAAACTAACTCTGCATTTCGGAATGAAACTAGTGAAAAATTATAATGATTGATATCGAGCACCCCACGCTTTTAGAACAGTGACATTCATTTTCTCGTCAGTCATTTTATTCTTAAGTTAACAATTATTTTTTACTTTTTAGTTTGATTAACTTTAAAAGCGTGTTTTTTAAACTATAATATTTTAAATGAGGTCCCGGTACGGAGGAGTGGAACTATAGTTCTTACAATAATTTAAATTGTAAGTAAAACAAAGGCTAAATGCGAATAGTCCATTGTGCCACTGTCCCACGTAAGTTTGAATGTCTTAGGTACTTTCTTTCTACATGGGTTAAATTGCTCTTCATAGAAGTTAATATAAATTCACTTTAATTCTGGCGTTCCCTAATCATGATGAGATAATAAACTTATCAAACTATTTTAGTGTCGTCGGTCCTTGATAAGTCTACAACGTTTAAATTAAATCGATCGCTTAAAGTAGGGCAAAATCGAGCCCAGAGTCAGTTACATACAAACAAACAAACATTCAGGTGAAACTAATATAATAGCGTATTAAAAGAATCAACTGTTTTCTTTCTGAAAGACGCCTGTAAATGTTTCTTTGCGGCTTAAATAGTGTTTATGAGGAGAAACAGATCTCCAGGGGAAAAAGTCAGTTACATACATACAAACAAACATACAAGTGAAACTAATAAAAGCGTATTAATAATAAAAGATCGGTTTTACAGAGAATCTAGTGGGTTTTTTGTCCATAAAATGATGGGTATTGTTTTGGCGAGCGGGGTTTCTCGTTTCCTTGATCACTCTTTTTCGTGTTCTTGGACAGTTTTTCGTTTCCTCGTATATTTTTCAACGTTCCTTATGAGTTTGTTATTATTTTTTTTAAATTTCTTCCACGCGCTATTCTTTTGACGTATTTAAATTTCTTTCGCGAGTTTTTTTATTTTACATTTTTCATAGCCAACGGCAATACTATGCTGAATATACCGGTTCTCATTAGATCACCGAAATCAAGCATCATTGGGCGCGGTCACCACCGTTGGGGTGACCACCTGGGAACACCGCGTGCCGTTTGCATTCACAAATTTGGGACCTGAATGGCCGAGTGCCTGGAATAATCCTCTGGAGCACGACGACTGGTTTGTGTAGAGATGGGATTCAATCGGGAAAGAATGCGTTAATCATGTATTCTTGTACTGTCTGTAAGTTCCCCCCCCGATTCATGGTATTCATGTATTCTTTTGTGTCCTTCTTGAACGGGCCCTTCATCTCGAGACCCTTTCAACCGTACTTCACACAGGAAACAAATGCGGATTATTTCGTTTTTCTCTTTATTCCTTCCCCCTACCAGAACCTCTGTAATAATAAAACTCTCTCTTTACTCTGGGTCGAAAAACAACTCGATTCATTTTGGCATCTAAAGCAGAAAGACAAATATTTTTGAGAGCTCAGTTTTCTTTCCTTTCAAAGAGATTTGGGGGAGTCGCCTCCGGTCCTCTGTTTTGGAACATTTTGTTCCTTCTTAAAGTACATGTTCTAAAATAGGTTTCTTTTATCCTCTTTGTTTGATATCGGATATATTTCTGGAATCAATCCTTATTCATTTCGGTTTGAATATTTTTAAAATGGGAAACAAAAAATTACTGATGCATTATTTTACTTTCAATGTGACTCTTTTGGTAGTGTTTTTTTTTCATTTTTGTTATAAAATATTCATCAGAAATTTGTATGCAAAGCGCCTATAATTATTTGTAGGATTTTAAATGTGCTCCGATTTCAAAATTTTGAGAACCACTGCGATGATGAATACTCGAAAGAAAAAAAAACCTAATGGATGAATAAAAATGTAAATATGTTTGGCCAAACTTTTCTGCATGCATTTAGAGATTTATTGTATCCAACTCTGACAAAGATGCGAAAATCTGTAGAAGAAGAAAAAATAAAAACGACATTGGAATAATCAAAAGTGAAACATCACAAAACAAAGCAGGGTAGTAAGAAAAGAAAAAACACCACCCTTCCGAATCAATAGTGTGTCGATTTTTTTCTTTTGGTAGGATTAAAACAAATAAAGAAAAGAAAAAAAAACCCTATTTTTTTATGGCAAATCGATTCTGAAATAACAAGTCGACGAGTTTTACAGATCCCGAGATTTGATACTGCAGTTTGGTGGGAATAAAACCTCCAACATTCGCGTTAACTGTCTAAAAACGAAAATATGTTTGTCACATAAAATGTAATTCCGGGAAATTTTTTATGACGTACACAGAAGGACGGTGAATACCATGGATTCTTGATTCTGCAACTTTCGCCATTTTCCACAAAGAAAAAAATTTAAAAAAAAAAAGATAATGAATCGATTGATTACCTTTTTCTCTTCTCTCATGCCTCGAAGGTTCCAGAACTAAATTGAGACATTTCAGAAATCAGTGGGTACTGGGAACTTTTACGCTCCCAGATATCGTGCAAAAAAGGCGCGAAAAGAGTTTTTTTTCTAATCAGGGTTCGAACTTTATTTTTAAATGGTATTTGAAGTGAAAGAACCAACGTTTGGAGGGCTGAAAAGAAAATGATGGATCTTTTCAAAAGACGTTGGCATGAAAGTTTTATATGTAGAACAAATGAGAAATCTCTTGAGATGCAGGAGTTATTTTGAATAATGTGTTGGCTGCAAATACCTGGTGTGTCCTTTGGTGGATGGTAAAAAAATCTTTTTAGGCATCGTTCACTTCAAATGATACTTAGAAAAGATAGAAAGAGAAAAAAATTCCATATACTATATAGATAGCATGATGATTCAGGTCCCGTGGCAAAACGATTCTTAAAGAAAAGGATACCCTATCGTATATTGGTAGTCATTTGAAGATTTATAACACTCTCATTTGCAGCAAAACTAAAGCAGCAGCAGCAGCATCAGTGGCACAACAGCCCCATGTTGAGCCACCGTAGCCTTATCTTCAAGCTACACTCGCCCCCTGGTTAGTGCTAAATGAGTAACGTCTGTCCAGCCCTTGCCTACGGCATAAGAGACAACTGGCTAAGTATTTGCCAACTGCATTAGAAAAGAAAAACTTAAATCCATATTAATATCAAATATCCTTTCGTTAATGTCTAATACCAAGCATATACACTCAAAAGAGCCAAAACATTATGACCACCTGCCAATAACGAGTTGGCCCATCTTTGGCGCGCAACACAGCTTCAACCCGCCTTGGCATGGATTAATACCACCACTTAATACCAGCTAAATACCACTTCCACCTGATCACGTGCCTTCCACGTCATCCAGGCGAGTTCATTGCAAAATGTAGAGGTGGTCATAATGTTTTGGCTCTTGACTGTAAATATCGTATAAATAATGATGTACGTAACGTAAAAATTATTTTGATTGAGACGAACACATTTCTCTAAGAAATATGAATTTTGGTTTGTCGCTCTACGGTCATCTTGTGCACACGAGGACTAAACAGTCCGGGACCTACAGTTTCAAAGTGGATTTCGAACCACTACAAACATCCATGGCATCGAACCCTAAACCTGTGGTACCGGGAGCCAGAGGAGAAATATGAGACGCCAAAATACACTAATATTTATTGAATAGAAGGAATGATTTCAAAGAAATATTCGCTATTCAAAGTTACATAAGTGGGGCCTGAATGGCCGAGTGGCTAGCGCTCTGGCGCTCGGTCCACGAGGTCCCGGTGGTGCCATGCGTGTTTTGTAAGTGGTTTGGAATCCACTTTTAAACTGTAGGTCCTGTTCCTAATAGGATCGTAGACCGTTTTGGGGGCATTGTTACTCCGCGTCCGTGGCTTATCTTCCAGTTACGCGCCCCCTGGGTCATGCAAAGTGAGTAACGTCTGTGCAGCGCCTGCCTTAAGGCATCAAGACCATGCTGTCTAAGTGTTTGCCAGCTGCATTAGAACAAAAAAAAAAAAGTTACATAAATAAGGCTACTGATAAAACAAGAATGTTCGAAGAATTTATTTTTGGGAATTTTTTCGTTTTTCGCTCAAAAAAAAAATGATTTGCTCGAAGAATTTTTTTTGGGATGAGGATCAAATCATGATCACTTCCTTTTATAATTACCTGAAAAGAGTCGTTTTTAAATATCAAAATTAAAGTAACAAAATTGCATTTTTATTAGCCCATTTAACAAAATATCAAACATCTACAAGAAAAATATTTTTTTTTTCAAACTTACTTTTAATTTTCTGAAATAAACCTTTCTAAGAAATATTTCAATCGAAAACCTATTTTACTCCACCAAAATCGGAACACATAATAATATTTTTTTTTTCATTGGGGAAAAAAAATGTATCCATTCAATCTCCAAAATATATTTTTATTTTTGAATTGGCACTTTTTCATAAACGGAAGAGGCACTAAATTTTTTTAGAGAAGTTGATAAAATTTATTAGATACAAAAAAATGTTCTTTTAGAACAAATTACATGAGAATAAATTTTTTCTATCTTAAATTGATAAATGAAGTAAAATTTTTTTTCCACTTCTCAAACTTATTTTGACAAAAAAAAAAAAAAAAAAAGAAAAGAAAATAGGATACAAAAAAAATTTTCTTCTAAAGAAGAAAAGATTCTAGAATTGGAAACTCTTCAAAAATAAAACTGTTTTTTAGTATGATACGTGTAGTTTTAGATGAAATAAAACATTTTGAGGGTTAATCTCTAGTTCCAATGTTCTTCACCAATTTTATTAGAATACATCATAAAAGAAAAAAGGGTACTTTGGGAAATATTTATTTATTTTTTTCTTTACATATCAAAATAATCAAATTTTCAATGAACAAAATTTAATAGACAGTTAATATTATTAGGAAGATTTTTTTTTGTTCTAATGCAGCTGGAAAACACTTAGACAACTTGGTCTTGGATGCCTTAAGGCAAGCGCTGCACAGACGTTACTCACTTTGCATTACCCAGGGGGCGCGTGTCACTTGAAGATAAGCCACGGACGCGGAGTAACAATGCCCCCGCAACGCTCTACGATCCTAATAGGACCGGGACCTACGGTTTAAAGTGGATTCCGAACCACTACAAACATTCATGGCACCATCGGGACTCTTACCCGAAACCTGTGGTACCGAACGCCAGAGCGCTAGCCACTAGGCCATTCAGGCCCCTTATTAGGGAAGATATGTGGAAATCAATGAAGGTTTTTACAAATGAATTATTTTGAAATAGAATGTTTAGTAAAAGAGTGGCCAACCCAAATGATCTTGCGGGCCACTTTGAAAATGTATCCTAACTCCGCGGGCCGCCTATAAAATTATTCCCCTATTAGATTGAGACCTACAGTAGACATTATTTTGGAGTGAATAAAATTGAAATAGAATGAGTTAGCCTTTTGTGTTTACTATTATTCTTACCTGTAAACATAGATAATATAGTAATAACGATACTATACGCACATTGTAAAGAAATATATAACACTTAAAATGAAATATAAATAATATATAAATATAAATGAAATAAAAAGAAATGAAACGATTCAAAAATATTTATTTTACTAGTACGTAGACTATAATTTAATTATTCTGCGAACTCAGAACCCATAAATAAAACAGACAGTATCTGTCCAATATTCGCAAGAATATATGGTAATTTTCGTTGTTTCAACTACATTTAACATGTCATATTGGATAGTTCCAAAGAATGCGTCAACCAAAAGTCTTTTCTCTTATGGATAGAATTAAAAGGAATTTCCAAAAAAAAAAAAAAAATAGAAAAAAAAAAAGGACTACCCAAAGAATCAGATGGAAACTAAAATAATAAATGAATAATTTTTGTTTTCAATTCTAAAAATTATACAAATAAATTCTAAAATTATACATCCGCATTTATGTTCTGTGTGAAGTGCGGTTGGAAAGGTCTCGAGATGAAGGGCCTGTTCAAGAAGGACATAAAAGAATACATGAATATCATTCATTGTGGAATCTTAAAAGATATTGCAAGAATACATGAATAACACATTCTTTCCCGATTGAATCCCATGTCTACACATAGCAGTCAAAAGTGCTCCAAAGGGTCTCACCAGGATTATTTCAGATGTCAA